GTCTGCGCCGCTCGCTCCCAGCTGAAGAACACAGATCTCAATGCCAGGTGAAGGAGGATTATGGGGTGGGGACATACACAGTGGTGATCACCGGCAGGAAGAAGAGGAAGGACTCCATGAAAGTCAATGCACACAGCTGGGAGCGTGCACGTCAGTAGGGCTGCAACAACTAATCGACATAATAGATTATAATCGATTATTGAAAAAGTTGTCAACTTTTTCAATAATCGATTAATCTTTTTTTTCTTTTTTACTTCTACCGCTCCAAGCTTGCTCCTGTGATGGAGTGCAATCTCAATACAAACTAGTAGTCCATCCCTGGAGCCATTTTTTTAAAATTTATTTTATTTTTTATCCGATTAACCGATTAATCGAACTTAATAATCGGCTAACTAATCGATTTTGAAAATAATCGTTAGCTGCAGCTCTACACGTCAGGCAGTGTCGGTGGGACAAGAAGAAACAGCAGTCTGCGCTGGATCAGAGACTGTCACCAGCACTGGAGGGACTGCTGAAAACGAGTGGAAGAAAGATGATGATCGGATCAAGAGGCATCACATAAGGTAAGTATTAAAAGCAGAAACAGAATAGGCAAAAAAAACAGTGACTTTAAAGTCCCTTTAGTGTTAACCTAATTAACCCTGTCTGTACTGTGCTGGCAGTTGTAAACTAGAACACTGTTTGTCCTAACGAGTTGTTACAGATCTAGAAGCATGGTATGTTAATGAGAAGAAGCCAGGGTGTCCCTAGTCTTTCCATGGGGACAGTCAGAGTTTCCTATCACTTTCAAATTCTTCAGAAAACCTTGCAATCTGTCCAAAGGCCTGTTACAGAGATATGTAAAAGGTAAGAAATATTTTTTAAAAGCTATTTTTAGGTATGATGAGTGAATAGAAGCAACAAACATATAGCAGGGTTTTCTTAAATTTGTTTTCAAAAGTGGAAATACACTTTAAGTGTGCATTTGATTCTGTTCTTTCCATTGATTCTCATACAGCAACAAATGCAGGATAAAAGAAAATGTAAACATATTTTGTATTTCTCATTTTATGCAGCTACTATCTCTACATGTATGACAAAGTGGTGGCCCCCAACGTGTCCCTCTCTGCTGCGTTATCGCAAAACAAGGACTCCAAGCCTGTACGAAGAGAGACTGAGACAAGTAAGCAATCTGTGGCAGAGTCGGAGATTCAGGCCCGAAGCACCAAACATAAATCTGTTACCTCACACCCTGACCTCTCCATAGAGGAGCAAGAGAGAGTAGATCAGAAATGCGATACAGAAAACAGTAATAGACAGCGTAAGTAAAACATGTGAACCTTTCCTCTTGCCATGGTAAGGCAAGATGTCCTGATGATAAACTGCTTCGTTTTCTGTTGATATGTGGAATTATCTCCCTAATTGCGTTGTTGTCCCCGGGGATGTGATAAAACCTTATGATAAGACATTAAACCTGCTGTACAGCTGTCCCAGAGACCCTGTAACACAACTATGGTGCTATTCCTAATGGATCTTTTTATATTCCTTACTGTGCCTAAATCCTGGATGTAAAAAAACAGAATCTGACCTCATGCTTTAAAAAATGTCATGCTCCTTTCTTTTTTGGGGGTGATAGTGCTCAAATTTTCTTTTAAGTGAAGGCAATTCTGTCACTGGAAAGCCATTCATGTGCAATAGATTTCTGAAGGTTCCATTATATGTGCTCTTCCATAATATATCTATGGTGTGTTTGTCAGCAGACCCGGGTAAATTGTCTGTGATGAACAGTGCTCATAGTGCAAACCTCTCACCTTTCTGAGATGGGAGAGAACACCTTTTTAACTCAAAGTATGTAGCCAAAGAACACATCTTTACTAATGCCCCCAGTTACACTAATCATGGAGAATTAATGAGCAAAACAAATGATTTAAAAGCATTGTATGTTCTTTTCTATGTTTTGTTTTTGTTTTTTTCTAGATGTGTATGTATGGGAGATTTAAATGTAAATAGTCTTTCCAGTATGTGTTAATGTTTTAGTTGTGAGTATAATTAACTTAAGTGACAAAATGATATTCAGTCATGTATATATTTTGCCGATGACCTTCATTCTCATAGTCCTCTCTATGTTCCTGTTATAACCTTTGCTTTGTGTGTCTGAATAATACTATATACAGTGCAGTAAGCACCAGAGATTGACTGCGGATTACCTAGTACACTCTGCAATCTAACCGACCTTGTCAGAAATGCCCCTTTTTCCCCTTTGCAAGACGGGCCCATCCACACCATTGTGCTGGGGTAACGCGTGTGTCAGGGTGTTGCGGGGCCACTTGTGAATGGCACCCCAACTCATCTCCTTGGTGGGGTGTGGTTGGCTGCCAAAAATGCTGCATAGGTTATCTTACGATTTTCGGCAGGTTTTCAAGCGTGCTCGGAAGATAAAAGACGTGCGACCGTACAGTAGAAACGGTTGCACGCCTTCCATACAACTGACGATTATCGTATGATCGCGGGATCACCCGATTATCGTACGGTAATCGGCAGGTGTATGGGCACCTTTTAAGCTGCCCATACACCTGACGATAATCGCGGGTGATCCCGCGATCGTACGATAATCGTAAGGTGTATGGGCGCCGTGCGACCGCATATACTGTATGGTCGCACAACTTTCGTCTCGCGAGTACGCTGGTAGCGTGATCGCAAGACGAAAGCCGCATGGGCCGAGGTGCGCAAGCGCACACTGCCCGCTCAGCAATGCAATCATCTGTAAGCCCTCCCCTCAGAGGGGAGGACTTGCGATGGTCGCAAGTACACGATCTGCCTGTTTAAGATGGGCAGTTCGTATGGAATTTTAATCACCTTACAACCAGCGCACAACGAAAGTCGTGCGATGGTTGTAAAGTGTATGGCCACCTTAAGAATTGATGCTGCTTTGAAGCCAACAGGGTAGTCACACCAAATATTGGATTGACTTAGCTCTTTCTTCTTTTCACTCACTTTGCATTTTCTAAATTGATAAAAATAAACAAAAAATATATAAATTTTTGAAAGCATTCTTAGTTTACAGTTTGTTTTTTTAACCTACTAAAACTTTTGCACAGTACTGCATATCTTGGCCACATTTTTATATTAGGAGGAATGTTCCACTAGTTTATTTTGTATATTTGGAGAATAGGCTACGATGATCTTTTGCTGAATCTGACAAGTGATGTGACTGCTTATGGCCAGCGTTAGTCCTGATCTGGGAACAATGAAATGGTTTAGCAGTGTTATGTCATAGGAGAGGCATTTTGAGTTCTCTGGCTGGAAAAATAACGATTAGAAAATCTTAGGTTCACAAATGATGATGGAATACGTTCTCCTGAAACACGTATGCTGTTTCTCTGAATAGTTAGCAGGGATTATGTGAAATGGCCGAGTATAAGCTGCCTGCTGTTGCTGGAGCCTTGTTCTAGTCTCACAGGCCTGCCTGCATTATTGCTGTTCTCTTGTACCCTTCGCTATAGTAAAAGATAAACTGCATGTTTCCTAGTCTGTGGTCATTTTATGATCTCCAGCATATATCTGAAAAAGATTTATTAAACAATCACAGGCTATAAAAGATGAAGAGAATGTATTGCTCCCAACATCTCTCCTTTTATTGCCTTCCCGATACTCCCTCTGAAACAACCGCTGTTCAGCCTCGCTTCTCAGCCAATACAGGATTATCAAATTACTCTATAACAAAATTGTTATTTAGAAGTATTTGTTTCAAATGTGCTGCATTGGGTGGTCGTTTTTGCACACAGAATGCATTTGAAAACCTAAACTGCTTTAAAACATTTGAAGTATAACTCCAGCTAACTATTTTAAAAAATAAATATATATATTTTATGTATGTATGTATGTATATAATATATATATAGATATAGATATATATAGATATCTATATATCTATATATAGATCTAGATCTATATCTATATATAGATATAGATCTAGATCTATATATATAAATTTTGTGTAGTCTTTTAAAAATGTATTTTAAATACATCTAGCCCTCTGCGCTGGAATCCGATTATCAAGCCCTGTTATTCCCTGCCCACCATCACTCAGACTGGGAGAAGGAGGGGCATTACTAGGAGCCAGTCATGCCTGCTGCATACACATGTGCTGACAGTGTGCATGCTGACAGCGGAAGAGAGCTTTGGGGCAGCGCTTATTACTAATCAATTAGTTGCTCCTTTTATTGCACAGTCTGAAGGCTGTAGGCGGGAAGGTGACCCCATTGTTCCATAACGTAATGGAGACAGTGGCATCCCCACCCCGACACTTTTTCGACAGAAGCATATGATTCATGGTGGCTGGACAGAAAAAGGAAAACCGTTCACATACGGTCTGTTGTTTAGCCTGTAAATGGTTAAATGGAAATCTTATGGAGTGGCTTCTTAAGGTCTAACTAAGACTACTGCCTTTTACCCTACTTGTAAATGTACCCGTGGAAAGTCACCTAATGTCCTCTGTATTAAGACCAAGCTTTTTTGCCTGCCACAGAGCCTGATTTTGGGGAGACGGAGAAAGATGGGACACCCTGCAAGGACAACCTGTGTGAGGATGACAAGGGTCACATCATGGAAGAAGTGGTAAAAACTTTTCTCAAGCAACAGGAAAAATTGAATTACATTTTACAGAAGAAACAACAAATCCAGACGGTAAGAAAGCCTGTGTATTTTTTTTGTTGTTTTCTTGTCTCATTTGCGGGAGTAATTACATTTTCTCACATTTGGTGAGAAAGTGGAATTATCCTTTAAATTAGAGAATAGAAGGCTGCTAATCCCTTCTGGGAGGGGGAGCAGTATATGCGGATCTTTCTGAGATAATGACATAAAGCTCCTGCTTTACTGTGCCTGCCACTAGGATGTCTGAGGGCTTGTTTTAAAGCTCATTTTGTGATTGTTAAGAATATGTACATAATTGAATGTCCATGACCCAGCCACAGGTTGATTTTGAAGGCACATGGAACCTCAGACTGAAAGATGCAGCCTTGGCAGCCGTTAAGTGTAACTTTCGGGTTCCACTGTTGTCATAATAAAACCCTTGAGTTTCTCAGGCTCAAAGTGAGGAATTATAGGAAGGGATTCCATGGGTCATGATCAGCCTGACTAGTCAAAAAAACAAAAATGGGGACATTTATATTGAGGACTTTCTTTAATTGATGATCACCTCTTTAGAGCAAACAAGCAAAAGTTTGCCCATTGGTGCACATGTGAACCTGGGTTGGAGTTGTACGAGAACAGGCACCAATCAAGGACATGCAGACATATAAGAAGTAATCCCTCCCTTAGTGTAAAGAAATATGGTTTTACTTATGTTAAAAGAAAGATTTAAGCATATGTAAAGGCTAAACTTTTTCTTTTTTAGTTGAGTAGGGAAGGACTGCAAGCCCTGCCAGTTTTTATTTCTATGTATCTGTCCCACTGGGGAGGAAGGTTTACTCTCTGTTTAACCTGGTGACCATTGTCACCAAGACAGAAACTGAAGAGAAATCCTATTTTTGAGAGTTATTAGAGCGAGGGGAAATCTTCCACTGGAGACAAATGTTTTGGTGACACCTGCCGAAGTGTAGAGAAAATAACGCCACTCCTTTTTAGTGTTTTTGGAACGCCCAGTGCAGAGAGAAATCAGGTGCTCGTGCACGCTCCCAACATATTCAGTCTCTAAGGCCTTGTTCACACCAAGCGCGTTCCAGGACCAGAGCAGTTACAGGCCGAATCAAAACTGCGTCCAATGTATTCCAATGGTATTTTGGGCTCTAGTTCACACCACAGCGTTCAGTTACAGAGCATGTAAAAAAAACTGCAGCAACCCCTATTTTACCTGCTCTGGAACACATCAAAAACGCATGCAAACGCCCTGGAACGCACTGAAAGCCCATTTTAAAATAAAAAACGGCCCGCAGCGCATCAAAAACGCGGCACAACCCACTGCACTGCGTGTGCAGAAACTCGTGCAGATCTGATCTGCATTTGGTGTGAACAAGCTCTTAATCCCAAACAGCAGCACTCAATATGCCACGACTCCAATAAAAATTTTATTGGCTCCAAAGGATACCCGCCCAGCCCCTCCTAAGGTCTTGCCTGCGCCACTCTTGCGCATTTCACCACAAACGGGTTTAATCATAGATGTTTTCATTGGAGTCATGGTATCGGAATGCCAGTATTTAGGATCTAGAGACTAAACCAAGTCTGTCTGGCTGCACCTGGCCTGCATGTACACTATTACTCTGTCAGGAAGGATGAATTCCTTTGAATGCTTGTATCTTCACTGTTTTCATTGACTTTTTTTTATTGCAGGAGGTTGAAACACTGAGCAACTCAAAAGCTATGAAAGAACTGACGACTGAGCAGCAGAACTTGCAGAAGGAGTTTGAGAGCTTGCAGACTGAACATATGCAAAAGATGGAGGAATTGTATAATGAGCAACGGGACTTGGAGGAAAAGCTGAAACAAGTAAAGAAGCAGAAATGCCTGTGTGATTCAAATTCCGAGAGGGACAAGGAAACACAATATGCAAACCAGGTGAGAGAGGTGGAAATACTGTAGCACTCCAGAAGATGCTTGGGGGAGAGCTCAGGTTTAGACTGAACCGGGCACAGAAGCAAGCTCCTTCTGCTGCAGCCCAATCAGCCTCGGCCAGGGAATTCCCTTCCTGCTGTTGCACGTAAGCAAAGGGGCGAGCTGCAGTGACGTAATTGACCTTATATGGCCACAAGGCTATATTTGGTAATTGAGATTGTATGCACATTATATGGCCATGTGACCATATAAGGTCACTGATGTCAGCACAAGCATCCCTCCCCTTTGTGCAGCTGTGGGGTGCAGAATGCCCTGGTCTGCAGTAAGGAGCTGAGGTTCAGACTGGGTTTCATCCGTACTCTGGAACTTTCGGGCTTCATTCATAAAACAGCAGTATGGTCTTGCCATGGCCAGACTGCTGCTTTATGGAAAGAAAAAAAGCATTTTTTCAAAGCACAGTGGTGTTCTTTACAAATGTGCATTATTAATAAAGTACCATTCAAATGAATAAATGGAGAGGGGAAAAAAGTAGAGTGGAGGAAAGCCCAGTCATGTGACTGGTCTCGCCTCCAATCACAAAATTCTCTCTGCAGTGTTAATTAGGGAGAACTTCAAAGGCTACCACCTGCTCCTCTCCGCAATCTCTATGCTATGAATGGGCTTTAAAATGCAGACTATGGTGTCTAGTGGATAGCGGTATCCACTCTTCACTATAAATAGGCCCTTTTTGGTTTCTAACAGAAAATGAATTTAAAAGATCATTCCACCAAAAAAATGGCTTGATGTCCCTTATTGCCAAGGAAGCATTTGAAAGCCGGGTCAGTTGTGACCATTAAATGGAACATGATGGATACCATTTGCCGGAAATAGTGTGTTTAGCAGGTCAGACATACAGACTTGATTGCAAGCCAATCTGGCTATAAACATGCAGTTTGAAATACTGCTTAGAGCTTTCAAAGTGTGGAATCAGGAAGTGCATGTTAAACACATGTAATTAGTTTAGTCTATAGCCCGACCACAGGTTCTCTTTAATCCCAACCTTTCCTCACATCCACTGTACTTTCTGCTTAAGTCTACAGCCACAGCGGCACCTGCCCCACACTTTCTTTTTTAGCTTCGTATGCCCACCGCAGCATCACTTTGTGGCCATCAGTATACGATTTTGGATTCACTGCTGCTACAAAAATTGAGAAGATTGAGGACAGCTTTGCTTTAAAGTGATTTTACAATGCATGTCATTTTTGTTGGTCTTGCAGCTGAAGCTGAAAATGAAAGTCTGCCTATTACACTTTCTGAACAGCTGACAGTGTGTGAAAGTGTAATCTCTGGAGTGTTAATGCAGAGTTTGACTCAGTGGTACTGCTTGGAGATGTGTACATTTGAATCAGATGTAAATTATAACGGGATTGCAGTACTTAGAAGCTGTTACAGAGAGTGAATATTATTTCCTACAAACTAGAAATGTTTAGAATGTAGCCTCCTTTTTGAATTTGGAATCATGGGGACTGATTGATGTATTGATGTGTTACAGGAAACTAAAAATGCGTTTCCTGGCTGTCTGTTGGAAGACAAAAGCAAAAGAGCTCACCGGCGTCTTTTATTATATCTAGAAAGAGGGAAAATTGATACACTCAGAAATGGAGACCTTGAACAGCATCACAAAAGGGAGGACTGCTATCTAGAAGCCACAAGCATGATCATTGATGTGTAGGAGGATAATCCACTAGACGTAAAGCTGGGAGTTTTGTGAATGGAACAAATGCCTGTGCTGGAGCGCAGAAGCCTGCTGCCTGACCTCCTGTTCCCTCTTGCCTCATGGTTAAATCAGTCACCTTATTCGTGCATGTCACTGTAAGAAACGAACATTTTCAAAAAGCCAGTTATAGCAGCCCAATATTTTTCATCCAGGGTTTTTCTTGAACCTGAATCTGGACAACTAGTCCCTTGTACCCGTATGCACGTGCAAGTTGATAGATCTGACCACGAAGCAAGAGAAAATGGAAGATCAGGCTGCAGGCTTTTGCACTCCAGCACAGGTGTGCGTTCCATATACCGAACCCCCAGCTTTACTTCTAGTGTATATTCTTCCTACACATCATCTATCATGCTTGTGGCTTCTAGATACCAGTCTTCCTCTTTGTGATGCTGTTCAAGGTCTCCATTTGTGAGTGTATTGATTTTTACCTTTTTTACATCTAATAAAAGGAACTTGCTATGCCTGTGCGCTCTTTTGCTTTTGTCTTCCAGTTTCCATGAGTACTCCTCCCCTTTGCTTCCAAGAGCTGCCGCGCTGGACTTTTTAGCACTCTTTTTGCTATGTGGCTACACTTTATCATTTCTTGTTTCTATCTTTATACCTGATCTTTTGCGCTGTTCAGCTACAACACTGTGGTCTAGTATGTCCTGTCTGTCTATGGCAGTATTTTCTGCCCTAAACAAGCATGCGGATTGGAAAGTCAGAGTGAAGTCAAAACTCCTGATCTGCCTACTTCTACGTGATTAGGGACTTCAAAAGTATTGAAGCTCCTGGATCAACATGACTTCCAGCTATAAAATGAATAATAAAAGCCGCGCTGTGTGAATAAATCTACAAAGTATCAGATATAATAGTTACTGGCCATGAAACAATGTGCAAAGAGTAACAATGGAAAAAATGCATGTGTATAATATGCACCTCAGTGCAAATATGTTGCTACAAAATATCCATAATGAAAAATCAAATACAATAGACACTAGCCGTGAAACACTGATGCAATGTGAAAAGAATAACAACAAGAAAAAAACGCGTGTGTATAGCATGCACCTCAGTGCAAATAATAGCTAAATAGATAGTTGAACTCCTGAGGGTGCACTGGGAGTCTGTACCTGAGAGGAGGAAATCACTGGGAGGTGTTCGGCATCAGGTGCTTCCTCTACCTGGTTTGAATTAGGTGAACAGCGCATACAGACGCTGGTGGGTCTCTGCTAAAGGTGAGGTGCATTCCAGAAGATGTCTATGTTGATGGTCATAGGAGACTGAAATTACTTTACATCCACTTTTATATCTTCTATTTTCTTAACGGACCAGGATTATGGACATTTTTGTAGCTATTTATTATTTGCACTGAGGTGGATGCTATATACATGCGTTTTTTCTAGTTGTTATTCTTTTCACATTGCATCACATTGTTTCACGGCTAGTATCTATTTTATTCGATTTTTCATTATGGATATTTTGTAGCAACATATTTGCACTGAGGTGCATGTTATACACATGCATTTTTCCATTGTTACCCTTTTCACATTGTTTCACGACCAGTAACTATTATGGCCCTCCTTACCATCTTGTCTTGAATTGTATTGTTTTTGAAATGTCTGCCCTATATTGTAAAGCACTGCGCAAACTGTTGGCGCTATATAAATCCTGTATAATAATAATAATATCTGATACTTTGTAGATTTATTCACAAAGCGCGGCTATTATTATTCATTTTATACTATATATCTGACCACACAGATTTCAGGTGCTGCTCAACTTGATTGGAATAGTGGTGCGAGGTTTCACATTATCCTCTAATGACTTTCAGCTAGCATTTTTAAACAGCCAGTTATGACAGCCCCATATTTTTCAGCCAGGGTTTGTCCTTGAACTTAAACTGTAAAGAACTTGAGTTATCTCCCTACATTCACAAATGCAATGTAGATTTCCAGGTGCGGTTTGAAATGTAAACTCACCCAGAGCTACACAGGCAAGTGTTTTGAGGGACGCCCTTTGTAATTTTTAGAGAACAGGCGTTTGAATTCCGCTGACTTCATGTGATAACAACTGGCAGTCCCTTGCAAATACACTTAGAAGTGCGCACCAAGGGATTTTTTATAACTCATATTAAAGGTTGAGTGGACTTTCAGATTTTAGCACACCTGCAGTCTTTTCTGGAATTCCACTGATGTGATTTTGCTAAGTTGCCGAGTGTGTTTTATTTAAAATGTGGAAAATCACCTTTTAGCAAACAATGAATAACTTTTATGTTCAAGGTAGAATTAAGGCTGACCTGTCACATGGTGTTAAAAGCAAAGTAAGCCTGCAGCCCGGTAGCACACTACGTTGCTTCTCTGGCTTCCTAATATGGTGCTCCGGCCTCCTGAGAAACCTGAACTTCCTCGTATGAATCAAACATGCATATTTCCTCTCCCATCCCACAATGCAGTTCTCAATGTTTGAGCAAACTGTTACTATGTCCAAGCACAGTTCCAGGGGTAAAATAACATGCTAAGCACCCTAAAGATCATATGAAAATAGCAACTTTTTAGAAAGCAGAATTTGTATTCTACTGCACATAGCAGACACTCTAGTGGTAAAATGTGGCATTGCAGGGTATCGGCTATGCAGCTAAATGTTTCCTTTGTTTATTCTGTAGCATGGTACAAAATGCTTAAAAAATCTCCAATGACAGGCTTTTTACCAGGTAAAGAGAATCAAACTGATTGCCATTATCTTTTACAGCAAGTCACAGATTTTCAGGTTGCCTGAATATATACAGTATATGCAGATTTGTCAATCTGCTGTAAATCATGCAGTTCATAAATCATGATTGCCTGAATGCCTGCATTGTTCGACTCTCAGCAAATAGGAATTCACCCAATTTTGCATATTAAGGCAGTCATCTGTATCCACTGCTTATTATAGGCCGAGTATGATAGTGCTGGTGGGAAGTAAACAATAGAAACAATTAATATATTGAAGCATGCTATGGTGCACATACACTGCAAAGGATAGCTGTGGTTTCATTAGGCATATTTGCAGCATTTTGTCTTCATACATTATCTCCATCTAACACATTAATATGTTTGTAAAAGGGTTGTATTATGATTGGTAATTTTGGGTTTGTTTGGTGCCCCGCAGGGATTCTGCCCTCCCCGTACCTCCAAGACTGACTAGAAGGACAGACTGGAGGGGGCGGGCACAGCTGTCAATCAGGCAGCGGGTGGATGCTTTCCGGCGTTGTCAGCATATAGCAGGCAGTAGCTTGCGATATGCTGACTTTGGATCATGGAAGTACATTAGTTAATGTACTCCTGTGACCCAGAAGAGACGTAAAGCCAAAAAGAAGGTTTGGCTTTACATCTCTCAACTTTTAAACAAATAATTTTCATACACTATCTAAAACTAAAAAAAAAAGTGTGGTTATTGTGTCAACAAGAGCAAACTTAAAATGTATTTCTACTTTTGCAGTCAAATTTGAGAAAACCCCACTATATGTTTGTTATGTGATCCTATTCACACCGCATAAACAAAAATAGTAAATATTTCTTATCTTTTTGATGTTTTGTTTAAATTTGGTACCTAAAATCCTGAATAATCATACCGCCAGGGAGGTTAAGCAGGCAAGATAACCGATTCCAGGTTTTGCTCAGCACCTTCACGGTGATCTCTCCTAATGGAAAGGCTCCGAACTGCAATTTTGAGGATTGTGTTTCTCTCATTCACTTAATTAACATACAATGGACAAACCAGCTCAGACCCTTCACCCCCGCACAGCCTCTCCGAACATTGCAAAGAAATATAAGCAAGTAGAAATGTTAACCCTTAAAGCCCTAACCAAGTAAAAGCAGTTGAAACTGCAAGAAACATGTATTTTTTTTAATTTATTTTTTTTAGCTTTATGCTATGTGAATAGGAACATGTAACAAATATGAAACAGATGTTATCCCAATCTGGCTGCAAAAATGGAAGTACACTTTAGGAAAACTATAATCTCTTCATATGATGATTTTTTTCATTCCAAAATAAAATACAACCAATCAATACAATGCTGTCGTCATAGTTGAACAAAATTAAAAAAAAGGAGAAATATTCTAAGTTTACTATACCATTTGATTAATACATGAACAAACTTATTTGTAGAAAACATCACATTAGCTCAGAAGCAGGTTTAAATAGATGCAGTGCCATTTCTGACCACTAGAGGGCTCCTTGTATAAGGAGTTGCAGTCACATAGAGTTGTGTTAGCTAAAACAAGACTTCACATTGCTTTTGTTGTGCACTTCTGGTTCCTAGTGGAATTCTAGGTTCCATTGACACCTAAGTGTGAGCATAGCCAGGCAATTTAGAGGCTTTTATTTGCTCACTTGTAAGTGTGTTTTTTTAATGCATGCAAGTTTAGCAGAATTGTGAGTTTTAGCCCCATAGACTTAGAAATAAGAGCGCCTGACAAATGTCTATAAATGTTTGTTTTTCCAAGTGGTTTTCAGACTCTCCCATTTCAATCTATAAGGCCAAAACACATGGCTAGAAAATGCCTAAAATGTCAAATAATGTGCATACTGTGGTTAAGATTTCTTTTGGCTTATGCATGCAATCTGCTGTCTGTATTCCCACACATACAGTTACAAGGCTTACTTGCTAAAATTCATGGCAGCAGGCTTCATCCAAAAGTCTGCTCAAAGCAATAAAGCAGATTCTTTCTACATTCTGCCACCCTGGACTGATGAAAATTAGAGTATGTGGCTGCTTTGGTCCAACCAGGACATCTGCTGTATTCAGACTTGTTGATAAATGAGGCCCATTGTGAGTTAAATGGAAACTCTTCAGCTAATACTTACCCTTTACCAATAACATAGTCATAAGTAATGTTTTTTATGCCTCTTGCTTAAACTACACTGTTTATGGTGACTTACAACAACACTTTTTGTATCTTTCTTTAGCTCTTAGAATTGCGACAAAGACTGGACCAGGCTGAAGCTGATCGGAGAGAGCTGCAAGATGAGCTACGGAGAGAACGGGAAGCCAGGGAGAAGCTTGAGCTTATGATAAAAGAGCTGAAGCTTCAGATATTGAAATCGGCAAAGACTGGTAACGGGCAGTAGACGCACAGCTCACAGACCAGTCATTATATTTGAAACAGGGTTTATATTTTGACGTGGACTAGGATGTGAGAAGTTTTTCTTGCTGTGTACCATAATAGAGGGGTTACTGCCAATGGGAAGTAAGACATCCTAAATATACGTGGTTCCTAACTACTCTAAGATTGGCATGCCTGCCAGATTCATGAGTACCTTTCAACTTGTCCTCTTAGCTAAAGAACCTTGTCTGCTCTTTCTCTTCGTATTGCTCTTTGTAATGTGCAGTAAACTTTTGGCATCAAGAGCCTGTCCCTGATATTGTCAGAGTTGTTTAACGGCTTGCAAGAATCAACGTAGTTCAGATGATCCACCACTGGTTTGTGCTCTCCAGACGAGACTTAGGATAACCATATACTCCAGCATTGCATCCTGTGTGCACTTTCTGTTCCCATATGTGTGGCAGCTACTGTACAGTCCCACACTCTTGTAGACCAGCCATAACATAATGCTGCTACTAATTTTCTCTCTCCATGTTTTCAGTGCTGATCTCATTTTTATTTTGTCCGTATATAAGAAGCCCTGAAAACTTGTCATGTCTAAATTTTGTGGGGTGCTTTTAACGTTCTCTTTGAAACTTGTACTTCTCCAGCTCAGAAAAACAGATGGGCATGTATGCATTTATAAAAGTACAACATCTTCCAGTGTTTCATATTGACAGTTAGGAGTTTGCCATAGTGACAACATTTACATTTGTTTTGTAGGGATCAACAGCTTGTGTGCCACAGGCCGCTTCTGTCATGCAGTAAGATTTGTTTTTATATTTTGTATTTTATGGTTTCAGTTGGATTCCTGAACTTTTTAGACAAATGTGTTCATTTATACACTTTTTTTTTTTCCCCAAAGAGGTTGCACTTTAAAGCTGAGCTCTAGGGACAACCGTTATATACACAATTGAAAGGCATATATAGGAGCTGTTTACCTGTCAAAGGATTTGTAATTCCGGGGCCTCAGTCTTGTGATCAAGGCACCTGTGCCCCACAGCCCAAACAGATCCTTGTCCACTACACCAGCAGCAGCACAGCTTGGTCTTGAAAACACCCCCTGTTTAGACAACAAGGGAGCAGCAACAAACTGATTACATTATTCATCTGCTCGCTCCTCCTGTCAGTGTGTCAAATTATCAGCATATATGCTTTGAAACAGAGCCTGACTGGGTCCTGTTGCTACCCCTCTCTACTCCGGTCTGTGTACTGCTGTACAGTGGGTTACAGCAAGCTGAAAAGACAAATTTGGGTACTTACACTGTTTTTTTTAATAGTTATTAAAATATTCAATGGTTTATGCTTAAATCTGCTTGGAGTTCAGCTTTACAAAAATGTGCTCCTACAAAAAAAAACACTTCCTGTAGCAATATGCAGGGAACAGCCATGATGTATGCGCGGCACCATCTTCTGTATCAAAACTTGTCTAATCCAATATGATAATGGCACTGTGTGACTGTCATGTTTTAATGGAGAGGTAACCGAGAAAAAAAAGCTGCCACTCTTGAATTATGAAACGTTTGGTAGGTGGGGATCCTTTCATATTGGAGAACATGGGAGCAAGAGTTCACTCCTTAAATGTAGAACCTTTTTAGGACATAGATGATCTTTTATCAGCTCAGTCACACTGCTAAGTTCTCTTAGGGTTGATTACTTTGCTTCTATCACATGACATTTAATGTGCATAAGAGATCTTCAGTAGCATAACTGAGCGATCAGTCTACCACAATCGTTCAGCGTCGCACAACAATCGCTTGTTTTAGGAGATTCTTGGGTGATTTTTTTTTCTCTTTCAAGTATACTCCACGAGATTTATTTCCTAACAATCATCCAGCAATCTTCTGTAGTAGCACAAAAGGATGACTTTTGCACTAGGAGATTTTTCCAATTTCCGAGATTAAATATTGCCCATGTAATCTTAGGCTTACTCTGATTTACAAAGAAATCACTGCCCTTTGTCCTATGTGCTGAATGCGTGGAGTCATATCACTTTACATCAGAGGTGCTGCGTATGGGAAGGCAGTCTGCAGAACCAGCGCATTTTTACAGCTGCACCGCAATAAGCAATAAATGAGTGAAATTTATATCATAGCTATTTCGTGGCTGTTCTGCATAATGTAGTGAGTTACCCTATAAAAATTAGAGAAAAAAAAATATAGATTCAAGTGCACTGATGATAACATCCCAGGTTTCCTGCTTTGCATTCTGTTATGTTAAAGGGGGGAAAAAAGATAATGAACTGAAAATATGCATCTATATTTCATGACCAATTTTTGCAGTATTGTGCAAACATATGGCATAGCTATAGATGATAGTTTTAGAGACATTGTTCACTTAATATTTGAAGTAATCCTATGTTGATTATGTTTTTAATGCATGGAGTTTTTATATTTGAAGCAGGGCTGGACAGATCCGAGGAACCAGGTAGCCAATGCACCATAAAAATGAAGGCTGGCGTCTACCTTGTGAGGTTTTCTCCAGTTGTCAATTGAGCAGACTCCTATAAAAAAAGTCCTGCTGGCTACTGGATTGGACAGACAGGCTCCTAAATTCAATATTAATTTGTCCACCCCTGATTTAAAGTGACACTGTCATCTTGCTTATGCTGAGCAAAGTGACGGTTTGTCGGCCATGGGCCCCCCTTTAATACCCTTGTGCTGACCTTGCATGTGTCCCCTTGCTGCTCTTACTGCTGTTGCAGCTGGCAGCATTACTGACCATTTCCAGGTATGAGGGAGCATGTGACAACCTTCCATGTGACAGTGCTTGGGTCTAGCAGCCAGTCGCTAGGCCTGAACACTGTCACATAACCAAAGGAGTGACATTACTACTTCTTCTGGTTGCTGACAACAGTAATTTCAGTGCCGTCTGCAACTGAACGAGTGGCAAGGGAGCACAGGCAAAAAGTGTAAGGGGGTTGAAGGCGGGGGCAAAGGTGGACAATGTCTCAATCTTTTTTTACTCCTATGTATACATTGCTGAAATCCGCTAAGCACTTGCATCTAAATGGTGCTCCAACCCTTTCTGTAAGATTAAAATGAAGGTATTTTATAGGTCGCTCATGCTTCTATCAATCTGGAGCACACAGACATGGTACATTTTTGGGTCCCCTTTGGGTGTTTGGTACCTTGTTAAAAATAGCTATTCCACACAGCAGATCTTTCATGAAATAGTGTTTCTGTACCAATGTACATTCATCTGTTAATCTGCCATATGCCTCATTTATATCTACTGCTATGCCTGGAGGTTTTACAGCTATGACAAATTTCAGCTCCACCAGATAATAGTAATAATGTTATAGGAAAAGGGGTGTTGGAAATGCCAAATTCAAAAAATTAAGTCTTCCTTTTTACCCACTTTTGTGTTTTTCTGATCTGCTGACAGTCATTCTGATACATGGCTGTGGTGGCACAGAGTTCTTATTTATAAGAATGTCGCGTGCCAGAGATGCTACAATCCATATTATCTGCTCTCCAGGTGCATAAAAAAAGATACAGAATTATATTTAGAGATTTTAACAGCTCCTTTATGTTAAAGTAGGAGTCGCATTGCTACTACATATTAGCACATGCAACCTGCTTAGGTATAAGCACCAGCTTGGCCATCACTGTAACCAGATGGCAAGTACCAGTCCCATAGTATTGCTAGTGACACCTTAAGAAGCACCTGTCATCTACATGTACCTTGAAGCCATTTTTGTTGGATGCAATTATATCACCAGGATGGTAGCTTGACAGGACAACATGAACAAGTGATTCATGAATATTTATCATTTCTCATGAAAATTAGTTATGAGCGATTTCAGTGAATTGATTTATTATTTTGAATATTGTTTCAAATTTCAAAGTGGCTGCCACTACTATGCATTGAGCTGTCCATAGACACCAAGGGTTGATCGTGCAGGCATGATCAGATTTTCCTTATATAATGCTGCCACAGGAACTCTATATAATTGCGGGTTCAGATAGAACTTACAAGTTTCCTCTATGGAAGTGAGAGAAGGGGGAGTGAGCTGAGTCTTGGTTATTAGCAAGGGAACAGTAGTGAATGGGACAGGTTTTCTAACCAACTAGATTGACTGTTCCACAACAGCAGTGGGCAGCTGATCAGTGATGGGAGATAGTCATCCAGTCTAGCAAACGACAACTAGATTGGGGATTGTTTTCCTAAATCTGTGGGTACCCTAGGACAGGTGCACTTGGAAGGTATATGGTATAACCATCTACTGTATTAGTTAGATTTAGATGAAATGTACTTTGATTTCCTGACTCCAATGTAAGCCTAAGCTGAATTTGTATTCACTTCTTTTGTCCTACCATACCTCAACTCTTTAGTACCTTGTACTTGCCATTATCCTCCTCATTACAATACTGTCTCGGGACACCTCTTTTCTAGCAAGTCTCTTTTTGACATCTAGGTTTAAACTCCAGGGTGATATCAGATGGGCAATTAACCAATGCGACTAAAGCTGGCCACACACCGCCTGGTATTGTTTCAATTTTGATCTGCCGTCGCTATAACTGGACTGACTATCTTTTTCATTCTAAAAGCACAGTGTTTTGAGGAATGCTGTGCTAAAACATAACCTTTGTGGGTTTTAGGTAGGAAAACATATTTTGTTATAAACCAGTGTTCTGTTTTTTTTTTATTATGTGTATAAAATCTTTATTTAATAGATAAACATGTAATCAGTAGTACAATCATGACACTCGCTTAGCAAAGCATGCTGTGCTTTTTAATAGGAAATGCCTTGTTTAAAGTGACCGAGCCAAACAGCCCTGATTCTGCTAATACAGAGATAGGGGGTGTCCCTGCTGCCTGTCACTCTGGAGTTTGTCTAATCTCATCTCATTCTGGCTATTTCAAAGCAGATCTATAGAATGAATTGGAGAAAGCAGCTGCTTTCCTGTTTGCAAGCGGTAGATATAAAATATGTAATCTTTCATATGTATCTGTTCAAAAAAGAAAAAGCATTTTTTTTAAATGTTATTTTTAGTACACAATACAATAAACAAAAAACACCCCTATATATTCCCTTTAAGAGAAATCTTTAAACCAGCATGAAGAACCCATCTGATATTGCCCTTTA